CATTGGACTAACAACCTTCCATTATCCAGCTCAGTCTCTCTGTCTCTCCCCCTCCCTCCCTCCACTCTGACTTACTTTATTCTTGGTGACTTACTTTATTTTTACTTTATTCATATCCAAAAAAGAATTAATCTTTTCTTTCATCTGCTTGGATATTAATGTGAGCCGTGTTCTGGCTCTGGTTTTTCTGGGTCTTTTCCAAGATGCTTCCTGAGGCTGGAGTCTTTCCTTGGATGCCCTATTCTCTTCATCACTGCAGGGGCCAGGAGGGAGAGAGGAGTGGGGAGGGCTTACTGCTGATTCTCTACCCCAGTGCCTTTGCCTACCTTGTCGTTAGTGTTGCTATCATCCTCAACAAAGGACCATGGAATATCAAATAAGTCTACATTAGTCACAGCCCGGGCTAATCGGACTGTAAGCAAACACACCCTTCTCCCAACTGTCTACAGTATTTGTGTTCACAGTGCTGTATCTTTGCTTCTGGTCTTGAAATACAACATTTACTTGTACTAGGTAGTAGCAATGAGCCAAAATTCATATCTTGCTCAAAGGCAAAGCAAGTTTTCTAGAATTCTCCTGAGATCTTTTTGAAAGAAATGAGACTGCTCACATGCACTAATGAGGGAAAGGAGCCTGAGAATCCCCATTTTTTGCTCTTATTTTCACTGAATATCCCTTTTGTGCAGAGCTTAGAGAGTCAGGCCTCTGGAGCCAGGACACAGCCTGTTTCCCAGCTCTAGGCACAGGGAAATACTAGAGTACGACTCCTTTTTCTAGCGTGTTACTACCTAGAGGCACCTCTCCATCAGAAAAATAAACTGAGGCCAGAAAACAGCTCACAGCATTTCTATACATCTTACCTGGTACATGTGAAGGTTCGATCCTTCACATATGTCCCCTGAACAACACCAGGTGTGATCCCTGAGCACAGAATCAAGCCCTGAACACCATGGGGTGTGATCCCCTCCAAAAAAATCAAAGATATGAGAGATTTAAAAATTGGGGGATCAGAGAGACAGTAAGGGGAGATTCCTCCGTATTTAGTCAACTCTGGTTCCACCCCCAGCACCACAGGTTTCCTCCATACACACCCCCTAGTACCTGTGGGCATGACCCAAAAGTCAACAATCAAAAAAAGTTTTGAGGGGAAATTGGGAGAAAAGTTTAGACACTTAGGGTATTGACAATGTTGATGGTCCCACAAACTTATGACTAGACTGAAAGGAAACAAAAATAGACTCTATACTTTTTTGTTTGGGGGCTACACCCACCAATACTCAGGGGCTACTCCTGGCTCTGCATTCAGGAATAACTCCAGGTGTGGTTTCAGGGACCATATGGGTTGCCCGGGAATGATCTGTGTTGGCTGCATGCAAGATCAGTGCCCTACCTGCTGTACTTTTGCAATGGCCCTTGAACTGTTTATTTATTTATTTATTTTTTTGCTTTTGTGGGTCACACCTGATGATGCACAGGGGTCACTCCCAACGCTGCACTCAGGAATTACCCCTGGCTGTGCTCAGGAGACCATATGGGATGTTGGGAATCTAACCCGGGTCGGCCACGTACAAGGCAAACGCTCTACCCGTTGCATTATTGCTTCAGCCCCTGAACTGTTTACTTTTAAGAGGATGGAACCTACAGTATGTGAACTTGAACTTAATGTCAAAATGTGGTTCCAGGAACTGGAGTCATAGTACAGCGGGTAGGGCGTTTGCCTTGCACGCTGCCGTCCCAGGTTCGATCCCTGGCATCCCATATGGTCTCCCAAGCACTGCCAGGAGTAATTCCTGAGTGCATGAGCCAGGAGTAACTCCTGAGCATTGCTGGGTGTGACCCAAAAAAGCAAAAAAAAAAAAAAAAAAAAAAAATGTGGTACCAAAGATGGGATTCAGTGATAGAACATCTGCCTTGCATGTCTGAGGCCCTGGGTTTGATCCCTTGGCACAGAAAAAAAAATTTTTTTTCAACTCACAATGAAAAAGTAAGTATCTTCATAAGCGCATAGGTCAGATAAGCAGGTAGGTATGCATATTTACATTACATATGCATATGTGTGAGAAATAAAAAAAGGGGAGAGAAAGAGGGGAAAAGGAAGGGTGGAGATGAAAGAGGGAAATAAAAAAAGAACAAAAGATATGTGGAGGGAGAGAGAAGGGAGAGGGAAGAGATGGGGGAATGGAGAAGGAGGGAGAGAGGAAGAGGGAAATGTTGATTTTTTTAATGGCCAGCTACAGATTTCCTTTTTGTGCTTTTGAACAGAAATGAAAATGCAAACCAGGACCCAAAGAGTTCAGTGGGGAAGGTGCTTGCCTCCCAGCCTCCAACCCCAGGCACTGGCTCCAGGAATGATACCTGAGCACAGAACCAGGAATAAGCCCTAAGTACAGCAGGATGTGGCCCACCTACTCCCACCCCCAAAATTAAGAAAAATTGAAAATGCAAGGCACTTTGTGCTGGTATGGGGCGTGCCTGACTGGCAGAGGCTGGGCCTTGCCTGGGTTGGAGATAGTGAATGGGAGGATTCTTGCCTTGCAAGCAGCTGACCCGGTTTCAACCCCTGGCACCCCAGAGATTCCCCAGCCCACTTGCAGTGATCCCTGAGTGCAGAGCCAGGAGTTATCCCTGAGCACTGGAAGGTGTGGCCCTAAAACAAAACAAAAAAAGACCCCAAAAAATTTTAAAAAAGCAAACCACTTTGTAATGAAAATATGGCTTCATTCAGAGAGGTGACTCGGCGGCAAAGCACAGGCCTTGTGGCACCTCAAGAAAAAAAAGTCTGGGGGGGCTTAGTAAATAAATAAGGAAAAAATAGCACTGTAGCACTATCCTCCCATTTTTCGTCGATTTGCTCGAGCGGGCACCAGTAACGACTCCATTGTGAGACTTGTTGTTACTGTGTTTGGCATATTGAATACGCCATGGGGAGCTTGCGAGGCTCTGCCGTGCGGGTGGGATACTCTCAGTAGCTTGCTGGGCTCTCCGAGAGGGGTGGAGGAATTGAACCCGGGTCAGCTGCGTGCAAGGAAAACGCCCTACCTGCTGTGCTATCGCTCCAGCCGAAATAAGAAAAAAATAAAAGGATTAAATTCATTTTGTTTATTATTATTATTTTGTTTATCTTAATATATTTTGTTTGTTTTATTTGGGGACCACACCAGGAGGTACCCAGGCTTTTCCTGGTTCTGTGCTCAGGAATCATCCTGGCTGGGTTCTGGGGACATATAGGGTCCCAGGGATTGAACTCAGGTTAGCTTCATTCAAGGCAAGTGTCCGACCCACTGTACTTTCTATCTGACTCAAGGCTGAGTTCTTTTTTGAAAAATTAAGTCTTGGGTCAGAGAGAAAGCACAAGGATTAAGGTGCTTGCCTTGCCTGATCCTCTCCCTGGCCCCACATATGGTCCCCTGAGCACTGTCAGGCATGACCTCTGAGTACAGATGGATGGGGGCCAACCCCCACAAGCTCCAGCCTCAAAATTACATCTTGAGGTGGTGCTATGGCTCAGAGGTAGAGCACTCACCCTGTTTATATGACGTTCCCAACATAGCAAAAAGAAAAAAATACTTTTATCTTTTTTTTGTTTGTTTGTTTGTTTTCCCACAATAGTATCTTATTCTTAGAACATGTCTCAGTGGCACCAGTCACAGTTCAGGGACCCAGCTACTACTTACAACCGGTGGCTGCTGACCAGGCAAAGCAACGGGGGCTTTCTCTATACTCTGTTGCCTCCTAAATATTAGCCTTGGTGCTAGAAAGCTAATACAGCAGGTAGGGCACTGGCTTTGCACACATCTGACTCACGTTCAATTCCTGGCATCCCAGAACCAGAAGGTAAGTCCTGAGCAAAGCTAAGTATGGACCCAAAACCAAAACTAAAATAAAACTTTTCAAGGAATCACTAAGGCAGAGGAATGGACGGTGGTCCCTAAGGAGAAGTCAGGGGCCAGGAGATGGCTCCATGGCCTGAGCACTTTCTTTGCATATGGTCCCCCTCCCTGGTACCACATGGACTCCTGAGATATGTGGCCTCCCCCCCAAGAGGTCTAAATTATTTTTCCTCTTTTTTTGTAGTGCCAGGGAATGAGCTCAGGGATGCAAATCACAAGGTGTGTGCTCTATCATTGAGCCACATCAGAGCTCCCAGAAACTTATATTTATTTCTAAGTGGAAACTGAGGAAACAAAACCTCCAACAAAGCTGGGATGGAGGTTAAGGCACCCCAAGTGGCACACACAGACCCTGAGCACTACCTCAAGCACTCTGATCCCTGACCAAGGAACCAGGAGTAAACCCCGAACACAGTCCTGTGCAGCCCAAAGACCACTGCCGAACCACCCTCCGAAAAGGAAGATCTGGGAGAGGGTTCTCTGGGCACTGCCAGGCTTCTCTATGAAGGTACCGAGGACCCAGAACCACACTTCCTAAGCGGGGAGGGATCCACCAGGCTTAAGCAAGAGATGGGTCAACTCTAAGGGAGCCGAACATCCCCCCTCTGAGTCAAGGAGGAGGAGGAGACGCCACTTTTACCCACTTATTTCTCAAGAAAGGCCCCCGAGATGCTGCCTCCAGGGCCCCCAGGAACCACAGGAGAGCAGTCAGCCCAGACCAGCTCTGCCTCAGGCCACTTCGCTACTCATTCCAGACAGTGTTTAGATCTGAGCCTCATGGGAACTTCTTTTGGTTTTTGCTTTTGGGGTCACACCCAGTAGTGCTCAGGGGTTCCTCCTGGCTCTGCACTCAGGAATGATCCTGGTGGTGCTCCGCCCCGTACGGGATGCCGGGGGTGAGCCTGGATGAGCAGCATGCATGAAAAACGCCCTCCCGGCTGCACTATCGCTCTGGCCGCAGCTCCTGGGAACCTGAATCTTGTCATCTCCACTTCTCCCCCAGGGTCCGGCTGAGTGGGGCATGCCCAAGCGGAGGCAACGGGCTCTGCAGGAGGGGAACCCGGAAAAGTCGGGCGCGCGCAGCCCCGGGCACCACACCCGCCCTCTCACCTGTGTGTGTGCGCACGTGCCTCTTCAGGTCGAAGGTGTCGTTGAAGCCTTTGCCGCAGAAGGTGCACAGGTGCCGCTTCACCTGGTTGTGGCACTTGAGGTGCCGGTTGAGCATGCGCTGAAGGCGGAAGCCCTTGCCGCACAGGTCACAGCTGTGGACCGCCGGGTCGCTGCATGTCCCTGTGGTGAACTGCGGGGAGAGAGAAGCGGTGAGGCCTGCGGGGCCGCTACCCAGCCACCTGCCTGTCCCGCGGTCAGGCCTGCCTGGGGCTTCTGCCCCTTGGAACCTCCAAGCAGGCTTTGGCTTGGGAAAGGCAAAGCATCAGAGCTCCTCCCAATATTCACTCCCTCCTTCTTCCACACAACAGACCTTGTATTTCATTTTCTTTTTCTTTTCTTCTTCTTCTTCTTCTTTTTTTTTTTTTGGTGGTGGCAGGCTTACCCTCTTTTTTTTTTTTTTTTGGGTGGTGGCGGGCTTACCCTCTAAGCACTGCACGGGGAGTAACCCTCAGGTCTGCCAGGCCTGGCTCCCAGACGAAAATCACTCAATGATTCCCTTCCCAAACAGCTTCTCCAACTAATACAGTCCCGGCCCAACGTTCTCTGTGCCCCTATGTCAGTGCCACTCCAACCCCCAGTCCACAAGAATCCCCTGAAGACATTATTAAATGCAGATACATTAAGAAACTATACTCTGGTAGAGGTTAGATATTGCATCTCTCTCCTCTCTCTCTCTCTCTCTACCTCCCCGCCCTCTCTCACTGGAGTCTGGGTCACACCCAACAGTGAACAGGACTTACTTCTGGCTTCTGTGTTCAGGGATTAGTCTTGACCATACTTGGGGACCATATATGGCCAGGGAACCTGACCAGGGTCAGCCCTATGCAAGGCAAGCGCCGTAACCCTGGTACCATCTCTCTAGAAGCTGCTGCATTGTTAACCAGCTTCCGGGAGCTTCCAACAGTGAGTCCTTGCACCCGACACAAGACTTGAGACTGAAGCACTGGTCCTCACACAGTTCCAAATTTTATTCCATTTCATTTCAGAAAATTCATCTAGTTTCCTTAACAAAATGCTTTCGAGTCGCTGATAAGCGAGGACTTCCTGCATCAAGCCCAGACCCACATCCATGCCTCGGCAAAAGCACTGATGGGCAAAGGCCCACATGTGACAGACAGGAAGGCAGTCCAGAGAGGCTTGAGACCCCAGACCAGCCTGGGAAAACAGTTCAAAGGGTTGGAGCACATGCTTTGCAGTGGGGAGACCTGGATCCATCCCCTCATGGTCTCCTGAGCACTGGGCAAACAGTAGCAGTGCTAGCTGTCTCCTCCCCCTCAAAATCAAATAACAGAAACCAATCAGCCAGCTAATTCTCATCTGCTCAGAGCTAATCAGTCTCATCTGACACTATCGAGTCCGTGATCGTTGACAAATCCTGTGCTCAGAGCCAACAGAAGACTGTTACTCAAGAAGCTGCCAGTCTAGTCACGGGAGCAGACCTGCCAAAGGGTCACCGACTTTTTTTTTTTTGGCCACACCCAGCAGTGCTCAAGACTCTGGGCTCAGGGGTCATTCCTGGAAATGCTTGCAGGACCATATGGGGATCAAACCTGAGTTGGTTGCTTGCAAGACAAGCGTGCTACCTACTGTACTATACTTCCAGCCCTGGTCACTGCAGTTTTGGAAGCCTCCAGTGCAATGGCTACCTCAGAACTGCTCCCACTTCAAACATGGCTAGCTGGGAATGGGGCTTCTGAAGGAACTGAGTCCCTCAGCCAAACAAACAGGGAGAAGAAGAGGAAAAAATGGAACAGGCTCTGTGAGAGGGCAGAGAGATAGTCCAGTGGACACAAAGCTCAGCCCTTCGAGCTCTCTCCCCGCATCTGTTGCAGGGTCTTATGCCTCTCTCGAGTCTCTTTGTATCTTGCCATAGAAATAGGAAGGTGCTAGCCATGTATACAGTCAACCCTGGCTCCAGCCCAGGCATTGTGTAGGGGCCTCTGAGCCCTGCCAACAGTGATCCCCGAACACAGAACCAGGAATAAGCCCCAAGCATCTCTGGGTGTGGTCCCCAAACCAAATCTCAGGGAAACACCCCATCAAGGCTTTCCTCTCACCAAGGACAATCCCCATTCTAGTCCTCGCTCCTGTTGAAGGAATATAATAAAACTAAATATGGCCCGAGTCTTGACAAACTAAGTCCTCTGAGTTTCTCAACACTGTTTCTACAGAAGATAAAAGTCAGTTGAGAGGTAGAGCGAGGATCATCCTCCAGATCAGAGGGCTGGAGCACATGCTTTGCCTGTAGGAGGCCTAGGTTCCACCCACAATGCCACATGTGTTCTCAGCACCACCAGAAGCAATTCCCTAACAAAGATTCAGGAGTTGCCTCTGAGAATCTCTAGGTATAGCCCCCAAACAAAAAATAAATAAAATAAAACAAAACAACAGAATAGAACAGAAACAACTGACTCTGAGACCCTGAATTAAAACTGTGTAGCATGCAGATGGTCTTTGAAAAGACCAACAGAATGTAACTTCACACTTGCCAACTAGAACCTAAACCTAACTCTTGTTCCTGCTAATCCTTTCAGTACATTCCTATTTTTCAAATGTTCTCTGTGTAACATAGATATCCCCTATTACTGTTCAGGATGAAAATCTCAAATCACTGGCATTATTTTCTTTGAAAAGAATAAAATCTGGAAGGGCAGCAGGCAGAAAGATTAGTAATAACTTAAGGGCACCGAGAGCTAATGAGTCTTCCAAGGCACAGAACACATTTTAGGATGGGAAGAAGATGAGAATGGAGGGAGCAACTGGGAACTGAGGCTAACACATTTTCGGAGGCAACTTTCTTCTGTTTTTTGTTCTGTTTTGTTTCGTGTTTTCAGGTCATACTGGGTAGTGCTCAGAGCTTACTTTCTGGCTCTGTACTCAGGGATCACTCCTGATGGTACTCTGCGGTGCCAGGGATTGAACCAGAGTTGTCCAGGTATGGGGCAAGCACCTTACCAGCTGCACTACCTCTTCCGGCTCATTCTTTCATTTTCTTACAGCAAAAATAGAAGTTCTCTAAGCAAAGCTCAGCCAAAGGAAATTTTGCATTTCTCCACTTTCATATATAGTATGGAAAATGGAGTGACCACAAAGCGATTTATTTAAGAAATTTCCTTACAGCCAGAGAGATTAGTATAGGGATTAAGATATTTGCCTTGTACATTGTCAACTACTGTTCAATTTTTCACCTCACATATAATTCCTCCAAGCACCTCTCCAGTAGTGACCACTGAGCATAGAGCCAGGAGTAAGACCTGAACAAAGCCAGGGGTAGCTGCCCATCCACCCAAAGAAGTAAATCACCCCTCAGAGGACTGGGGAGGTGGCTTAGTGGGACAGTGCCTGCCTTGCATATGTGAGACACAGAGTTAAAACCCACTGCTGGGAGCTGGAGAGATAGCACAGCAGGTAGGTTGTTTGCCTTGCACAAGGCCGACCCAGGTTCGATTCCCAGCATCCCATATTGTCCCCTGAGCAGTGCCAGGAGTAACTCCTGAGTGCAGAGAGCCCGTAGTAACCCCTGTGCATCAACGAGTGTGGCCCAAAAAGCAAAAAACAAACAAACAAACAAACAAAAATACCCAAAACCCACTGCTGCAAATAAAGGAAAAAGGAAATCTTTATGTTATATTCTTCTGTTTATAAAGCACTGCTTGCCAAATAGAGTTCTAAAACCAATCTAGCCACCAGATATTAAAAAACTTATATTTGAACCCTTACAAGAGTTTCTGTTAAAATATTTTAAAGGGCGGGACTGGGAGCAGGCAGGGCATTTGCTTTGCACACAGATAACTCGGGGTTCAACCTCTGGCACCTCATTTGGTCCCCTGAGCACAGAGCCAGGAGTAAGCACTGCCAGGTGTGGCTCAAAAACAACACAAAGATGTAAAGTATGAATAAAATAATAAAATATTAACGATGAAACATTCTGCCTGATAAAGCCAGCTTCTAACAGACTATTTTATTCCTCAAAAAAGGAAGGAATATTTGTAGGATAACTTCCTAAGTACAAAGTTTACCCACAGAGTGTATTTCACAGGTCACGTACCTGCAAGGTCATGGTCTGTCGTGACAAATGACTGGACATGACCAATGTGCTCCCCACTGGCGCGCTCATCGCGGTGGGCACCTGCTGAACAGTGATGGTTTGCTCTGGCACAGACTGAGGAAGGAAGACCTGATTGCAAACAGCCGTGTGGGTATTTATACCTCGGATGTCCAGCGCAGTCAGGGTCCCAAAGACTCTAGTCCCACCTATCATCGACCCCAAACTCCAAGAGAAACTTCAGGAAAGGACTGCCCAGCTGAGCCCAGTCATTTCACTGAGCCTGAAAACATAACCATAAAGTTTGATTATTTTGATACACTGCAATTTACAAAGTTATTCATGATCAAGTTTCAGGCAGACAATGTTCCAGCACTAACCTGTTCATCAGAGTTCACTTCCTCTACCACCATCCAGTTACCCTACCATCCCCCAGCCTGCCTCTACGGCAAGCACCTTTTTTTCTTTTAGACACCGTGGTTTACAATACTGTAACTGATATGGTTTCACACAGAGCACGTCACCACCTTCTAGTACCTGCTCTTTTTCCAGAGTAACCTCGCCCTCCATGCCCTCCCAGGCCTGTTCGCCTCTCTCCACAGCCCAGAGCAAGCTTCCTACAAGAAGTCCAGTTCTCATGTTATTTGTTTCCATTGCCTTTGGGCATTTGTTATTCTCCATTATGTTCACAAAGTTATTTTATGCTTCCTAAATTTAAAATCACTGGGGAGGAGGAAACAGATAACTAGAACAGTAGTCAACATTTTCTCTTCTCTCCCTTTAGCAATAAAACCCAACCCAAACAGATGTGAAGCAATGCACAGATTTCATCACCGCTTTGTGCCAATATCCATGTGTTTTGACACAAAATTAATTATTCATGTATATAATTAACACGGAACCAATCCAGACCTGTGGGGGTGGGGGAGGTATTTACACCAGGCTACCTTCCTGAAAGACTTGTCTTCTGAAAAGTCTCACCCGTAATCCAAAATTAACACTTTGCAAAAAGCTTACTAATGAAATGGGAAGTTACCATGAAGGGTGGGAGGTGACAAAGGTCTGGAGATTAATTCAGCTAAAGA